ATAAGTCCTGCAGTGTTCATTAAACGGTGAATAAGTCCTGCAGTGTTCATTAAACGGTGAATAAGTCCTGCAGTGTTCATTAAATGGTGAATAAGACCTGCAGTGTTCGATAAATGGTGAATGAGCCTGGTTCTGCTGGAGGTTTCTTCCTGTTCAAAGGGAGTTTTTCCTCTCCACTGTCGCTACAAGCATGCTTAGTGTGAGGGATTGCTGAAGAGTCAATGAGTCGATGCAATTAGCTGGTTTTCCTTAGATAGAAAACTTTGAATCAATCTGACTGGATGATCTGGTTGATCTGGATCTATAAAGTGACCTGAGATGAGAGAATGTGAATTGGAGCTATAGAAATAAACTGAATAGAATTGTGTACTTTTTAAACCTTCATCCATAAGTTGCTAGCATTTAAGAAAGAGGAACATGAGGTATTGTTATTCAGTTCATTTAAGCTGTTAATGAGGTTAAAGTTCCAGTAGGTGTCAACATTTAGTGAAACAGTATGAATTCAGTTTTTCAATGTGTGAAAACAGTTTATGAGTCTCATCAATCCATCACTATCAGAAGCCAATGGCAGGTCGGTCAGTGGTAAGGCACAGCAGGGTGCCAAACAGAATCCAGACCTCTACTGAACAGAGCCCCTGGTGGGGTCTATATGCTGAGAGCTTGATATAAGGGCAGAATAACCCCGTAGTGGAATCCCCTGATGGCAGCTGGTGCACCACTTTGGGAATCCCTGCTCTACTTAGTCCTTTCATATGTGCTGATTTATCTGGTGGTAAAATATGGTATTATACTGAAATAACTTCCAATCTAGACTCTCCTGACCAAAATGATTGTTTTCACTTCCATCACCCAGGGACCCATGCAGAGGGTTAGGGTTCTCACCTGTGTTCTGTGCAGCCCGTATCAGCCCTTTTCTCAGGATGTCTCTCACCCATGGCTTGATCTTTTCATGCCCCTCACCCCCCACCACTGAAACCACCAGGTTGGGTAAGGGCAAGCGCCAGTGTGCTGTCATTAGAGTATAGATGATCTGTGGAGGTGTGTCGCATGAAAGCCGCAGAAACTAAAAAAAGACAGACAGCTTTGCATCAATATATTGGCGAATGCAGCAAATCTCTCAGGTAAAACAAACAAACATAAAACCTACAACAAACCAAGAGTTTTATGCAGAAAAATATACTTTGCAGTCTTTACCACAAATTCATTCCTGAGTTTAAATGGACTTTTGGAACTTTGCTGATAGGGATTAAATACATGTGAACTAGAGCGGCGCCAGAGCAGTAAAACATCAGCAATGACTTTAGACAGCAACTGCCCAGCAGTCTGAAATACATGGTACAAAAGGAGAGGTCTGCATCACTAAACTTAAAGACAGTGATATTTCAGACATCTTTGTGTAGTTCGGCATTGACAGACAGACAGACAGACAGACAGACAGACAGACAGACAGACAGACAGACAGACAGACAGACAGACAGACAGACAGATATCAAATGGGAATGAACCACTGATTATTTAATGCTTGGCCATCAAACTTCTGGTATTCCTCCATGCCTTCAATAGCTCTCCCATTAACCATCCTGCCCATTGGACTGATTCATCTGTTTAATTCTAAACACTCCAGTGTTCCTGATGCTGATTCTCTACTCAGGACTAAATCCACAGACCAAATCTGATGAAACCACCAAGAGCCCAGACTAGGAATGGCTACTATTACGGATTATCCGATACAGCTGTTCCTATCGATACTGCTTATCAATCAATAACCTTCAGCCGGGCATACACTGTACGATATTTGAATCGTTGTACGGAGCTACAGCTCAAACTGGATGATGAAATAGGAGGGTTTAAAAGTTCCCAGCTCACAATGTCTGTTCTTCCACTTTACGGCCCGATGCTCTAATGCGGTCTAACCGCTCACACTGTACGTCCAGAAACACATGTTCGACTCAGCTGTGAAAGATAGTGCCGGTCGGACTCATCAATCTGGAAGAAGAAGAAGAAGATTTCCTTTATTTGCACATAAGCAGTGCGTGAGGTTCTGGTAAATCGGCTCATAGACGCTGATAGCTCTGATCGCCCCTCGCTACCCGCTGTACACTAAACGATGCCGGATGCAAGAGGAGGCTGAAACTAGGGCAAAAAATCTTACAGTGTGGGCGTGGCCTAAGGGAGACAGAGCAAAGAGTGTAGTAATCAGCTAATTGGGAGCAGGTGTGGACAGAGGCAGCTAGAAGGGAGCTAAAAGGAAAGGAAAGGGGAACTAGGGGGGAACAAAGAGTGATCAGGGAACACAGGGTTAAATACAAAAGAACTTAAATGAAGCTAAAGGGGAAAAAAGGACAAAGAGGAAAACTAGAGGATAAGAGAAGGAACTGGAGGCAACTTAAGATAATCATGAAGCCATGGACAATGTAACATGACAGGATTGAAGTCCTGCTGACTGAGAGCTGAGCAGCAGAATTAAAGTCAAGCAGAGAAATTAATCACAGGAGCTGAAAATGATGCAGCTGGACTGTTATAGAAGTACAAAAATATATATAAAAAAGTTGAATGAAAACTACTGATGGAGGAAAGAGGTGCAACATAAAAATCAGAATTCTCCATCAATCATAAAAGCTTTGGACATGAAATGAAATGTAATCAGTGCTGCGCTGGGTGAAGGATGGACAGAAGCATGAATTCTGTTTGGAAGAAGAAATTTGAGAGACGAGGGTTCGATTAAAGCTCTAGAAGATTTCAAGAACATAACATTTCTCCTACTGTGATTGAAACTTTAATGTGTAACAAATATGCATGTGCCTGGCAGTTATTGTAGAGCAAAACAACTTAATAAGCCCTAAAATCAGTCATCCTCTGACTAAAGAGGTGAAAACTTCCCCAGAGGGAATACAAAATGTTTTAAATCAAATACGCAAATCTGAGAAATAAGAACAGCAAAAAGAAAACCCTGAAATGTTTTGAATTGACAAAATTGTCAAAGATTGACAGCTGGAATTAAACAGGACAGAGGAAAAGCTGTAATCTGCCTGCACTGGTTAGGTGTCCAGATTGTGCCTGGAGAGAAGGATTCTTACATGGCTATGTCTGCGTCCAGCTCCAGCAAACTCCAGTTCTCCAAAAGCATCGGTGGGATATTCAGACGAGTGCTGCCTGCTGTCCCACTGAGTAACAATCGCTGCTCCAAAGTAGTCTCCTGTGGCCACCGAGTCGTGGACTTCCCGCACAACGC